TTTTATTATCATTACTATTTTACAAATGTTGATAATCAAAGTGTCTTAGTTCAAACCATTTTAGATGTTGCAGTGAACTAATCAATTTTATTAACTGTGTAATGATTTTTATTCTCATGCAAAGTTAGAACTCATGTCAAAGCTGTTACAGAGTAATTATGCCTTTTCTGATTTCTGCTTTTGAATGAGCAAGTGTACGTTGGTCCAAGGTTGGAGTCAAACGCAAAACAAGTTGTTAGAACGAACTGTCATGTTTTTAGAATCCTCTCAGACGTAAATATAGAGGTTTTGGCACCTGTTTCTAAACTCGCCAAAACAAAACTCTCTCTGTCTGTGGGAACATTTCTGATCTGTTTCATAACAATTCTTGCTGTCTTCTAACCTCTTACGTCACAAAACACACCCCGTCTGGTTGTTTCTGACCAATGGGAATACTCCCAAAAGTGAACCGGGAAAGAGCTCTTTAAAATGTCGGTACTTCCTGGTCTACTCAGTTCTGTGAGTTCTGTTGGGTTCAGTTCGGAGTTCTGTTGGGTGCAGTTAGCAGTTCTGTTGAAGCTCTGGAGAAGTTCTGTTGAGTTCTGCTGGTTGGAGAAGTTCTGCGGCGCGGACAGTGCTGATATGTCCTAGCGCTGGACAGTTCTGTGAGAGACGGGATGATCCTGACATGACAACAGAGCTCTTCCGAGTTCCATGGGATTATAACATTTTCACTCGCCACTACTTCTGACGATTCACAGCATCCTAAGGAGACGCTGGACAGGTAGCGTTAACGGAGCTCCATATCTGCTGATTAACCTCAGAAAGGTAATGAGTCAAGTTTCCTACCAAGCGTACCGGGGAGAGCTGGGTTCTGATGGAGAGTGTCAATTCTGGTGAACACTTCCCCTCCCATACCATCTTTACTCCCTCTAAACTTCTTTCCCATCTTTAAACTTTTTATCAAGTAGATATTCTTCCAGATATTTAGAAATGTCTGTGTAAAATGCTCATCCACATCCGTGTGGGTAAAAGATCATAATTGTACAGTTTCATAAATGTCTGTGGTGAAGCAACGGAAAAATCATGGCCGTATGATTTTTCCTGATTGATTGCTTATGTTGTTATTTTCATAATTTGCCAAATTAATGTAAATGTTTGATGTTAAATTTTGATTCTGTAAATAAATGACCGCATTCATTTTGATGGGTCAAATATAAATGACGTCTCACGTTTGCATTTCATTAAATTCAATGCACGTTTTATTCAGTTCAGAAAAATGAGGAATCCGCGTTAATTGATGAATATATCCGAGCATCTGTTCATCTACATATATATACACATATATACATATATATACACATATATACATATATATATATATATATACACATATATACATATACATATATATACATATACATATATATACATATATACATATACATATATATACATATATACATATATATACATATATACATATACATACATATACATATACATACATATACATATATACATATACATATACATACATTTACATATACATATATATATATACATATACATACATATACATATATATATACATATACATACATATACATATATATATACATATACATACATATACATATATATATACATATACATACATATACATATATATATATATACACATATATACATATACATACATATACATATATATATATACACATATATACATATACATACATATACATATACACATATATACATATACATACATATACATATATATATACACATATATACATATACATACATATACATATATATATACACATATATACATATACATACATATACATATATATACACATATATACATATACATACATATACATATATAGACATATATACACATATACATACATATACATATATAGACATATATACATATATATATATACATATATATATATATATACATATACATGTATATATACATGTACATATATATATACATATACATGTACATATATATATACATGTACATATATATATACATATACATGTACATATATATATATATATATACATATATATATATATACATATAGAGTATATACATATACATATATACATATATATACATATACATATATATATATATATATATATATATATACATATACATATACATATATATGTATATATATACATATAGAGTATATACATATACATACATATATATAAAAATACATATATACAGTATATACATATACATATATACATAAATACATATACATATATACATACATATACATACATATATATATATATAAATACATATACATATATACATACATATACATACATATATATATAAATACATATACATATATACATACATATACATACATATATATAAATACATATACATATATACATACATATACATACATATATATATAAATACCTATACATACATACATATACATACATATATATATAAATACATATACATACATACATATACATACATATATAAATAAATACATATACATACATATATATATATAAAGACATATACATACATATATATATATATAAATACATATACATACATATATATATATATACATATATACATATATATATACATATACATACATATACATATATACATACACATAAATATATACATATACATACACATACATATACATATATATACATATATAACTTTAAAAAAAAATAAATTTTTCCTTCTTTTGGTTACTCCCTGCGTTAGGGGTCGCCACAGCGTATTTAGTTACATGAAGACTTGGCATTTACGTTTACGCTGGATGCCCTTCCTGACACAACCACAGACCACCGAGCTACCACAGCCCTCTGTGTGGAGTAGAGAGCTGCTATCTAGGACACCCGGAGGAGCACATGGTAGGGGTTAAGGGCCTTGCTTAAGGGCCCAGAGTGGGGCAAATGAGGGTGGGGACAGGTGTAGGTGCTTCATCTACCCCACCCACATTTTTGATGTTGTCGGTACCGGGGCTTGAACCAGAGATCTTCCGATCACAGGCCCACCTTCTCTAACATCTGCGCCACCACTCCCTAGTAGTTTATATATATATATATATATATATATATATATATATATATATATAT